TGAAAAACAATGAATAATATAAAAGAAAAACAAAGGATATGTGGTATCCTGATTCCATTTACTGTGGATTCATTATTATTCGTTGGATACCAATTTTTGTTAACCACAAAATTAAAAGTTCAATGAATGGCAAATTTACTATAGGCTTGTATGCAAACATTGTCAAAAACCATGAAATTAAATATCCACGAACATGTAAGTTTTCCTTAATCCACAAAAATTGGTACCCACGAAAATAAATGAATCCACAGTGTGACACAAAATCAGTACATGCACAGCAAAAAATCACACAGGAAATGCAAAGGAACAGTGATTTTATTGCTGTTCTTCATCTCAAAGTCACAGTGAGGCCTTCAACACGTAATGTTGTATAATATATATGCAATATTGTATCATTGAATTGTTTATGAATAAAAATTTTCCAGTTGTATATTAATGTACATTTTACATGTTTTATTATTTGAGATTTCAGAGGTGAAATTCAATAAGGGGTTAGAATTGCTTGCCACAAAAAAACATTCTTTAATTTCATTTGATGTTCCATTCATAATCATGATAATTATGAATCAATTGTTAGGCCTAAAAAAAAATTGTTTGGTAAGGGGAATCAGACCCTACCTAAAAAAAACCTGCAGACCCTTAAATTTTTTAGCATTGTGCAATAACTATTGTCATAGGGTCATCCTAGAGTACCATCAATGTCGGAATACATGCTAACAAAAAAAAATAAATAACCCCGCCTAAATTTTGGACATGTTACTCGAACCAAACAATTTTTTTGTTTAGGCCTCACTGAATCTGCATTTATTTTTTTGTGTGTCGAAAAAGGAAACTATTTTAGTCTTGCCTTGACGGAGTCAAAAAGCGAGACATAGGTATGCTGTTTCCAGCGTCGTCGTCAACAATGTATTAGTTTGTGATTAGGTCTAGTTTAAGGTGAACCAGTAGTGGTTGGTCAATGATATTTGGTATGCAGTTGTATTAGCACTGGCACATCTCATTTCCATGGAGATTATTTGGCCCTGCCCCCTCAGTCATAGTCTATTGACTTTGAAACTTTTGCTTAGTTTACATATATTAGTTTGTGATTAGGTCAGTTTATGGGGAACCACTAGTGGTAAGTCAACAATATTTGGTATGCAGTTGTATAAGCATTGGCATATCTCATTTCCATGGAGATTATTTGGCTCCGCCCCCTCAGTCATGGTTTATTGACTTTAAAACTTTTGCTTAGTTTACATGTATTAGTTTGTGATTAGGTCAGTTCAAGGGGAACCACTAGTGGTAAGTCAATGATATTTGGTATGCAATTGTATAACATTGGCATATCTCATTTCCATGGAGAATATTTGGTCCCTCCCCCGCAGTCATGGTCTATTGACTTTGAAACTTTTGATTAGTTTACATGTATTAGTTTGTGATTAGGTCAGTTCAAGGGGAATCATTAGTGGTAAGTCAATGATATTTGGTATGCAATTGTATAAGCATTAGCACATCTCATTTCCATGGAGAATATTTGGTCCCGCCCCTCAGTCATGGTCTATTGACTTTGAAACTTTTGCTTAGTTTACAGGTATTAGTTTGTGATTAGATTAGTTTAAGATGAACTGCTAATGTTAAGTCAATGATATTTGGTATGCAAATTTATTGGCATTTGCAAGCCTCGTTTCCATGAAGATTATATAGCCCCACCCCCTCATCATGGTTCATTGACTTTGAAACTTTTACATAGTTTACAAGTCAATGTTTGTGTTTAGGTTTGTTGAAAGTGAACGACTTATGATAAGTCTATGGTATTTGCAGGGGCGGATTCAGGCGGGGGCGTCGCTGGCGTGTGTCCCCCCTAAAATTTGCAAAGCATGTGTTGTCCTCAGCTTAATAAAGAATATTTCAATAATTTTACCTCCAAAAAATATTCGACTCGCTCCACTCTGCGAAAATATAAGTTGCGCCCCCCCCCTCCCCAACCTAAAATCCTGGATCCGCCCCTGATTTAGTATGCAGTTGTATTAGCATTGGCCCATCTCATTTCCATGGAGATTGTTTTGCCATGTCCCTTCAGTCATGGTTTCTTAGACTTTGAATATTTGCATAACTTACATGTTAAAGTATCGTTATTTTAATTTCAACATTTGCATTATCAAAAGTACAAAAAGGCAAGACATAGCTATGTGTTAACAGTTTATTTTAATGTTTCAAACATAAGTGTGTCGAAGATTTCTGGTGAAGGAACTGCACCAATAATTTTGCCATCACTTCGGGACCTTCTCCGCCATCATCTTGTCTGTCGTCAAAAAACTAAAAAATCTTCTCACCTAAAACTACTGGGCCAAATACATAAGTGTGTCGAAGATTTCTGGTGAAGGAACTGCACCAATAATTTTGCCATCACTTCGGGACCTTCTCCGCCATCATCTTGTCTGTCGTCAAAAAACTAAAAAATCTTCTCACCTAAAACTACTGGGCCAAATGTTATCAAAATTTACCTGAATGTTCCTAAGGGCAGATCTACATTTGTAGTTTAAAAACTGTATCTGTTGATTTGATCCATTAACAAACATGGCTGATGATGCTAAAAATAGAACATTGGGATAATATGCAGTTTTTGGCTTTTATTTCTAAAACTAAAGCAGATAGAGCAAATCTTCCTATCTCGTTCAAAATTTTCAAAAAATTGGACAACACATATTGCCCCTGAAATGACAATTTTTAGTAAATTTTGAAAGTTTTTGCTTTATACATGTATCTCAAAAAAACTAAAGCAGTTAAAGCAAATTTGACAATTTGGAGGTCTTGGAAACGACCAAATAAGATCTACAAATCATCAACTTAGACTGAATAGTCAAATGACCCCTTACAGGAATTGTATTCTATAAATGATGCAGTATCTCTAGAGAAAAACATTCAAATGTATTTTTCAGGTCATTAATGTCATACATGTAGGTTGTAAATCTATGACCTCATAAATATGCATGATATAAACACACAGCAAAAGAACAGTGCTTTTATTGTTGTTCTTCATCTCAAAGTCACAGTGAGGCCTTCAACACGGAATGTTGTATAATATGTATGCAGTATTGTATCATTGAATTGTTTATTAAGAAAATCAACTTAAACGACCTCATAAATCACTTGGCCGAATCCAGAATTAAAAATCTAGGATATTAATAATGTGCAGAATGACACTGGGCTTTTAGCATACCCGATGAAGGGAGTAAGTTGATGTGTTATATGAATTAAAAGACAAAAAAATATCATCAGTACAAGACCTACAAAATGCTACTTACCCGATAAGATCTACAAACAGGCAAAACTAACCATCATAACTGATTGCAATAAAGAAAAAAGAAAAAAATCAAAATGGCATATTTTTTTACCAGGTGAGCGATTGCTGCTCACGAGAGGCTCTTGTTATTTGTTGATATATCTTCCCATCAAATTATGGTGTTACTACACTACACATGCTCATTTTTTCACTTTTGTACACATTTATATCATTCATTTTGTGTTGCAGAATACTAGTATACATGTTCATCCAGTCTTGCAAAAACTATTTATTCTCAGCTCTTATAGGCCAGGATATTCATTTTGAAAATCCTCCTCCCCTTCTTACCTGCCCCCCCCCCCCTCCCCCCCCCCCCCCTAAAAAAAATGAAATGATTGTCCCCTAATACCAATGAGACAACTATTCACAAGAGGCCAAAAAGTGTAGATTTTATCAACATACATCATACGGCCTCCAACAATGAACCAAACCCTTATCCCTGTTGGGATTCTGTGTCTGGAGCAATTTTGTTATTTGGCTACCTTCAGATAATCATTCCGTACAGAGAATCTGAAATGGGGTTTAGTGTAAATCCCGTACCACAAGCTATAAAAGCCAGACATAAGAAAATGTAACACAATTCACATAAGAAAACCCAACATCATGATTTATTGTTTTTTATGATGAGTTTTAACAGATGTAGAAGACATTGACTGGTGGAGCATTGACTTTTGATTCGTCAAAATTGTCATATGCTTATTCAACCAGTGCACTCAACACAGCAGCTTGAGGAAGATTTGTAAATAAAAAAACTGTAACGTAAGGCATTCTTGAGATAAATCTGAGGAGTTTAGACTGGAAAGGAATTGATCAACCGTGATATGTTTATTGTCTTTCAGGTAAACATACCACATTTGTAGCCAGGAAGTGAGATGTAGACAAAGTTCCCCCTTTGTGGAAAACAATATAATTAACCCCTTATAAAGTGGAAATTCAGAATAAATTTTTTTATTAACGTTCCAGCAATGACCAAGATAACTCCCATTAGAGAAAAGTTTGGCTAATAACAGGCTTTAATGTACCAAGTCGGGAATATGAAAGTTGTTTTCCATTCGTTTATTACCACAAATCACAGATCAAGTTTGAACTTTGGTGGCGTCACTTTTACCGTTCTAGAGTTATGTCCCTTTTCAAATGGAAAAATTGCTGCATTTTTCGTGTCCGTTCTCTAACTTTATTTTGCCTCAACCAAATGTTATGAAACTTATACACAATGCTTATTACCACAAAACACAGATCAAGTATAAATTTTGGTGGCGTCACTTGTACCGTTCTAGAGATATGCTCCTTTACAAATGGAAAAATTGCTGAAATTTTCGTTTCTGTTCTCTAACTTACGTTTGCCTCATTTGAATGTTATGAAACTTATACACAATGCTTATTACCACAAAATTTAGATCAGATAAAAATTTGGGAAGCGTCACTTTTACAGTTCTGGAGTTATGTCCCTTCATAACATTATATGCAAGCGGGGCATCAGGACACATTCCCCATTTATTTCATACTATTATGAATTAATTCTAAAAACTCTAACACTGAGCTTTGTATGGAACTATGGAAGGTTTAGACCTCTTCTTTTTTCATTTATAACAATTATATAAAAATTCAGAGAAAGTTTAACCAGTATTTAAATAAATATAATGTAAACTGAAATTGAGCTATTTTATACTTTCAGTTTGAAGATCTATTTGTATTTATCTATTCAAGGTCCAGTCAATTTATAACTATAGGTAAGTGAACATAATAGTCAAATTGGATTGGAACGATTAATAATTTAGTTTATCAAATAAACTTAATGTTCATGTGAATATTAAAATTTTCAAAGGGGAGATAATCAAGAGCTAGCTGGTTCATTTACACTGGTCAGTGCTTTTTAATTTTTTTTAACAAGATTAACATTTTTCACTTTGCAACCTCTATACAAAAATAACATGAAGTAATTACATATTTAATTGCATTTAAGAGTAAAAAACTGATAAAACATTGCAATCATTAAAATAGGAATTGTATATAACAATAGAGTTGTTAACTAAGATATCAGCTGTATGAATGAAAGATGGGAGACAGGGTTCTCACTAAGGCAGTCAATGAGTCATGGACTCATGAAAATCGGTCTGAACTCATCATTTTCAAAGCGGATGAATCTAAAGATGCATAAGGATCATAAAATATTGTATCAACTAAGCACGCATATCATCATATCATTTTATAGCAAATGTTTAAAAATAATCAAAATTTGATGTCATTTCCTTTCTCTGTTTTATCATATAGACTAAAGCAATAATTATGTAGCAATGAAATTTCTTCTCACTGTTGAAATCACCATGGTCATAAATGACGATTCCCTGGACTTGCCTTCAAAAGTCCTTGGTCAGAATCCTAGGAGGTCTGTGTCAATCAGACAGCAACCAATCAATGAGGATTCCCAGGACTTGCCTACAAAAGTCCTAAGTCAGAATCCTAGGAGGTCTATGTCAATCAGACAGCAATCAATCAATGACGATTCCCTGGACTTGTCTTCAGAAGTCCTAAGTCAGAATCCTAGGAGGTCTATGTCAAGCAGACAGCAATTAATCAATGACGATTCCCTGGGCTTGCCTTCAGAAGTCCTAAGTCAAAATCCTAGGAGGTCTATGTCAATCAGACAGCAATCAATCAATGACGATTCCCTGGACTTGTCTTCAAAAGTCCTAAGTCAGAATCCTAGGAGGTCTACATGTATGTCAATCAGACAGCAACCAATCAATAAGAGAGGTCAAAATGGCATTCAACAATAGATTCCCTGGACTCCCCTCCAAAAATCCTTAGTCAGAATCCTAGGAGGTCTGTGTCAATCAGACAGCAACCAATCAATGAGAGATGTTAAAATGGTATTCATTGAGTCTTTATTACATGTTATTATTTCTACTTTAATACAAACATTTATATTTCTAGATTAAACATCTATTATTGATATTTATTTATAGACCCTTGTCCAGTCAATGTGACCCTCGTCCAGTCAATGTGACCCTCGTCCAGTCAATGTGACCCTCGTCCAGTCAATGTGACCCTCGTCCAGTCAATGTGATCCTTGTCCAGTCAAGTTGTTGTTATAGGTAAGTGTACAATATTTGTGAACTATATATATCCATCTGATAAAACATTTATAATGGAAAATCCCTTAAAAAGATAATTTATAATCAGATTTTTAAAATATGTTTATACTTGATTTAAAATCGGCATCCAATGAAATTGCTTAGGGTTTTCCAGAATTATTTGAATGGGAGGGGGAGGGCTTTTATTCAAATTTGATGCGTGGTGGTTATTTCAGACAGAAAGCCTTAACAATTTCATTAAGTAATCAATTAAAATTTTATGCATGGCGGTGTTAATTTAAAAGTGCATTCCTATGACCTCCCCCCTTTCCCCTGCCAACCAACATGGCTCAAAATAAAATTTATGGTTAGAATGCAAGTTTTGTCTATTATCTTGAAAACTGCTATAGGTAGAGAAATTCTGACAGGCAGAAATGTTTAGAATGTTTACATCCACCTACTGTCCACTTGAATCGATCAAAATTGGCCTACAACTTCTTATAGGAGTTACTACCTTTGAAAGACCAATTGTACCATTTTTTCTTGCAAGGTCTACATGTCTATCACACTGGATTCACCTGACCAGGAGTTCATTTCATGGATCAGTGATCAAGGTTAAAATTTCATGATGAAGTCCATATCTCAGATACCATAAGCAATAGGTCAGCTATATTTGGTGTATGGAATGCTTGTATGGTGAACATGTTTGTCTGGCAGGATTTTCAGACCTTGATCTTATTTTCATCGTTCATTGGTCAGAATTAAGTTTTTGTGGTTTGGTCAGGTTCTCAGATACTATAAGCAATAGATCAGCTGTATTTTCCTTTATGGTATGCTCGTTAGGTAAACATGTTTGTCTATCCACATGGTTTATATGACCGTTACCTTATTTTCATGGTTCATTAGTCAGTGTTAAGTTTTTGTGGTTTGGTCAGGTTCTCCGATACTAAAAGCAAAAAATCAGCTGTATTTTCCTTTATGGTATGCTCGTAAGGTAAACATGTCTGTCTATCCACATGGTTTATATGACCGTTACCTTATTTTCATGGTTCATTAGTCAGTGTTAAGTTTTTATACGACCGCAAAAAAAATTTTGTGGTCGTATATTGGTATGACGTTGGCGTCGTCGTCGTCGTCGTCGTCCGTCGTCGGCGTCGTCCTGCGTCGTCCGAAGACACATTGGTTTTCGCACTCTAACTTTAGTTTAAGTAAATGGATCTTTATGAAATTTTACCACAAGGTTCAATACCACAAACGGAAGATTGGGATTGATTTTGGGGGTTATGGTAATAACAGTAAAGGAATTAGGGGCCAAAAAGGGGCCAAAAATAAGCATTTTTGTAACTTCCAGACATAACTTGTGTGTTAGTGTATGGATCTCTCTGACATTGTACCACAAGGTTCCGTATCACTAAAGGAATGCTGGGATTGATTTTGGGGGTAATTGCCTCCAAATTTTAGGAATTAGGGGCCAAAAAGGGGGCAAAAAACAAGCATTTTTCTAGTTTCATGACAATAACTTGTGTGTAAGTGTATGGATCTTTCTGAAATTGTACTACAAGGTTCCATATCACAAAGGGAAAGCTGGGTTTGAGTTTGGGGGTAATTGCCCTAAATGTTTTGGAATTTGGGGCCAAAAAGGGGCCAAAAAACACATTTTTTTCTAGTTTCCAGACAATAACTTGTGTTCAAGTGTATGGATCTCTCTGAAATTGTACTGCAAGGTACCATACCACAAAGGGAAGGCTGGGGTTGAGTTTGGGGGTGATGAATCATAATGGGGGTTCAAAAAATTTTGGGGGGGGATTTATTTTTTTTTCCTTATTTTTCTTTTTTTCCTTTTTTGTTTCTTTTAAAATTTTCCATTTTAAGTTGGTTATTTCTGATTTATATTTAAAATCAAATAAAAATGATATGGTAGGAGATACACACCAAACAGGATGTGTAAATTATTATATAATAAGTATTGTGCAATAGCAAGAAATTTTCAATTGCACAGTATTGCACAATAGCAAGAAATCTTCAATTGCACAGTATTGCGCAATAGCAAGAAATCTTCAATTGCACAGTATTGCGCAATAGCAAGAAATATCCAATAGCACAATATTGCGCAATAGCAAGAAATTGTCAATTGTACAGTATTGCGCAATAGCAAGAAATATTTAATAGCACAGGATTGTGCAAAAGAAGATACTTCCTATAAATTGCTTATTTCTTGACCAATTTCAATGGGGTTTTATTCTTGATTTCATGGGGTTCTTTAAAATGCTGAATCTAACCGTGTATTTAGTTTTTGGATTTTGGGCCCCGTTTTTAAATTGGTCCACATTGAGGTCCAAAGGGTCCAAAATTAAACTTTGTTTGATTTCATCAAAAATTGAATTATGGGGGTTCTTTGATATGCCGAATCTATCTGTGTATTTAGATTCTTAAATTTTGGTTCCGTTTTCAAATTGGTCTACATTAAGGTCCAAAGGGTCCAAAATTAAACTTAGTTTGATTTTAACAAAAATTTAATTCTTAAGGTTATTTGATGTGCTGAATCTAAACATGTATTTAGATTTTTGATTATGGCCCCAGTTTTCAAGTTGGTCCAAATCGGGGTCCAAAATTAAACTTTGTTTGATTTCAACAAAAATTGAATATATGGGGTTCTTTGATATGCTGAATCTAACCATGTATTTAGATTTTTGATTTTTGGGCCCCGTTATCAACTTTGTCCACATTGAGGTCAAAAGGGTCCAAAATTAAACTTTGTTTGATTTCATCAAAAATTGAATTATTGGGGTTCTTTGATATGCCGAATCTAACCGTGTATTTAGATTCTTAATTTTTGGTTCCGTTTTCAAATTGGTCTACATTAAGGTCCAAAGGGTCCAAAATTAAACTTAGTTTGATTTTAACAAAAATTGAATTCTTAGGGTTCTTTGATATGCTGAATCTAAACATGTATTTAGATTTTTGATTATGGGCCCAGTTTTCAAGTTGGTCCAAATCGGGGTCCAAAATTAAACTTTGTTTGATTTCAACAAAAATTGAATATATGGGGTTCTTTGATATGCTGAATCTAACCATGTATTTAGATTTTTGATTTTTGGGCCCCGTTATCAACTTTGTCCACATTGAGGTCAAAAGGGTCCAAAATTAAACTTTGTTTGATTTCATCAAAAATTGAATTCTTGGGGTTCTTTGATATGCTGAATCTAACCATGTATTTAGATTTTGGATATTGGACCATAATAGGTGAATGTCCAATTTAAAATTTTTAAGTTCTTAGACCACATTCAATCTGTGTTAGAAACCTATGCTGTGTCAAATATTTAATCACAATCCAAATCCAAAGCTGTATCAAGCTTGAATGTTGTGTCCATACTTCCCCCAACTGTTCAGGGTTCGACCTCTGCGGTCGTATCAAGCTGCGCCCTGCGGAGCATTTTATTGTGGTTTGGTCAGGTTCTCAGATACTAAAAGCAAAAGATCAGTTGTATTTTCCTTTATGGTATGCTCGTGAGGTAAACATGTCTGTCTATCCACATGGTTTATATGACTGTTACCTTATTTTCATGGTTCATTAGTCAGTGTTAAGTTTTTATACGACCGCAAAAAAATTTTTGTGGTTGTATATTGGTATGACGTTGGCGTTGTCGTCGTCATAGTCGTCTGGCGTCGTCCGGCGCGTCCGAAGACACATTGGTTTTCACACTCTAACTTTAGTTTAAGTGAATGGATCTCTATGAAATTTTACCACAAGGTTCAATACCACAAAAGGAAGGTTGGGATTGATTTTGGGGGTTATGGGACCAACAGTAAAGGAATTAGGGGCCAAAAAGGGGCCAAAAATAAGCATTTTTGTAATTTCCAGACATAACTTGTGTGTTCGTGTATGGATCTCTCTGACATTGTACCACAAGGTTCCATATCACAAAAGGAATGCTGGGATTGATTTTAGGGGTAATTGCCTCAAAATTTTAGGAATTAGGGTCCAAAAAAGGGGCAAAAAACAAGCATTTTTCTAGTTTCATGACAATAACTTGTGTGTAAGTGTATGGATCTTTCTGAAATTGTACTACAAGGTTCCATATCACAAAGGGAAAGCTGGAATTGAGTTTGGGGGTAATTGCCGAAACGTTTAGGAATTGGGGGCCAAAAAGGGGCCAAAAATAAGCATTTTTCTAGTTTCCAGACAATAACTTGTGTTCAAGTGTATGGATCTCTCTGAAATTGTACTGCAAGGTACCATACCACAAAGGGAAGGCTTGGATTGATGATGGGGGTAATTGCCTCAATATTTTAGGAATAAGGGGCCAAAAAGGGGCAAAAAACACATTTTCTAGTTTCCAGACAATAACTTGTGTATCAAGTGTATGGATCTCTCTGAAATTGTACTGCAAGGTACCATACCACAAAGGGAAGGCTGGGATTGAGTTTGGGGGTGATGAATCATAGGGGGTTCAAAAAATATGGGGGGGGGATTTTTTTTTTTTCCTTTTTTTTCTTTTTTTCCTTTTTTTTTCCTTTAAAATTTTCCATTTTAAGTTGGTTATTTCTGATTTATATTTAAAAGCAAATAATAATGATATGGTAGGAGATACACACCAAACAGGATGTGTAAATTATTATATAATAAGTATTGTGCAATAGCAAGAAATTTTCAATTGCACAGTATTGCACAATAGCAAGAAATCTTCAATTGCACAGTATTGCGCAATAGCAAGAAATCTTCAGTTGCACAGTATTGCACAATCGCAAGAAATATCCAATAGCACAATATTGCGCAATAGCAAGAAATTGTCAATAGTACAGTATTGCGCAATAGCAAGAAATATTTAATTGCACAGTATTGTGCAAAAGAAGATACTCGTATAAATTGCTTATTTCTTGACCAATTTCAATGGGGTTTTATTCTTGAATTCTTGGGGTTCTTTAATATGCTGAATCTAACCGTGTATTTAGTTTTTGGATTTTGGGCCCCTTTTTAAATTGGTCCACATTGAGGTCCAAAGGGTCCAAAATTAAACTTT